GAGAGAGAGAGAGTGGGGGATACCTCTCAATGGAAGAGAGAGAGAGAGGCCAATCCAATTTCACAAGTGTAGAGAATACACCATCATAGAAAATATTTATATAGAGGAGGCTATGGTTTTGCCACCATTGTGAGTTTTAATCTAGACCGTAGATCTTGGAGACCTGTGGGGTGAAGAGATCTTAGTCCTTCATTCCTTAGATCAACCATCATGATTAAATGAATGAGCTAGATACATCATTCCTCAGTTCTCATAACTCTATTTCTATCAAATATTTGTGTAGAGAAAATATTATGTATTTACATATTAAATTTCAATCAATCTCTACACCTTCCGATTTTAAAGCAATCAATCTTCATTTCACAAAACCTTCCTCTAATTCCATCACAAGCCATACATAAAAGGAAAGATGAATTATGTGGGGCATCCCACACATGGTGGGCTATGTGGGGCCCATGCCCCCACCTTATGGGCTCAAATGTGTTGGGCCCAAAGCTCCAATGGGCCCCCACGCCCCAAAGTGAATTTTAAATAAATAAAAATAATTTTAGAAAACAAATAAATATTTTCTCTCTGAATTAAATAAATCCAAAAATTTGATGTTTATTTATTTAAAATGTTTTTTTCACTAAAATAAAATATCTAGAGGCCTAAAAATTCATTTTACTTATCTAAAATATAATTAAAACATAGTTAAGCTTATTTAAGAAGATTTGATGGAAATTAGATCCATAGAGTTAGGAATATCACAAAAATACTAAAGACTCCATCCTTTCTGGGAACTGCATGTCTTTCTTCTCAAACTGACCCAGAGCCCTTCATAGGGGTTCATGTTTGGACTACCAATGTCGGCCAATAAATGAAGGGGACATGATCCTAGCCCATGGATTACAGGTTCCTTCCTAAGGACAAGTCCAGACCCCATTCTAGCACAATAACTGGGTCCTTCCAACACAGTGCAATATTGTAGGGAGACATCTCTTCGACACATGTACACAACACACCCACCCTCACTCAAAGGGCTGCTTCCCGGATAGCTATCTAGTGTACATGTCGTGCGTTGGTAATGATGTGGATTTGGCCCTTGTCCTCTCTGGCTAATCACCGCATACAGGGATCACACCTAGTCCCCTGACCAACCACCTTGGGGACAACTCTGACCTCATCAAGGGAATGATCCAACGTCGAAACCCTAATCGGTTGTGCACAAATTCACAGGGCTACGGGTTTTTAGACATCAGCCTGAGCCATAGCCCATCCAAACTCAGGTGAGTCACAGCATCAACGATGCTTCACAGTCCACCCTGGATCATGCAACACCGTCTATCCGGACTACGTTTCCTCTGGAGCTACCATATCACTATAATAATAGTTTTACATGCTCTTATAAGGCCTTTAAATGGCCATATAACCCCAACAAGAACCATGTGACTTATTAGGCATCACTTAAGAGAATTGAGAAAATACTAGAACACTTTCACATGCTCTCCTTGTAATCCTGCATTATAGCATCATTTGATCCATTTGTTCCACTGCTTATTCTACCTGCCTAAGAAATGTATATTCAGTTCCTTACATTGAATATTGGTCTTAAACTAAAACAGTAGCCAGTAAAATAACCTTGCCGAGGGCTCTTTTATACCAAATTTTAGAAGCTAGAGGATCTATCTTCCTAACATGGGGCCCATCTTGGCCATAAATCATATCATGACACTATTTGAATCTTCCAAACTTTATACCATGATGGGGATCTTATTGGCCTCTCATGAGGAGTTGCTCATCTCCTTTGCTTAAAAAATGTCCTTAGAGACCCATAAATTCATTCATTCCTTTTGAAGATCTCTATTATCTTTGGCACCTAGATATGTCATTTCTATTCTTGTAGTTTCTAGCACTCTTTCGTCTACTGTTTTTTTTTTCCCGTGTTTGCCTCCAAAAAAACAAACAAAAAAAAACACTTCCGAATGCTTCAAAATGGCTTCCTTGTCTCCCCCATCTGCCATCACAAAATTTGCCTCCTTTACTAATGCATTATCCTCAAGAATTTCTACCTCTGTCTCAATCTCTTCATTAGCTAACCATCTGGAGGGCATCTTCTGATTCACTTGTTTGAAGTCCTAAATTTGTTTGCCTGTAAACTCCTCTCCAATTGGCATATGAAATATATTTCCCCTCCTCAATCCATTTCGTGAAAATCACATTTTATATTCCCGATCTTAAGCACCCCGACAATAACCTTGAAAATAGGGATACATAATTGATGCTAAGCGATGTAATATTTGGCTTATGTGTAGTCTTTCTACCATGCGGCCCAACTTTCCCTCTGATTTAGTGGCTTACCCTTATATTTCTAGCATAGGATGCCATAATTGGCTGTCACAAACCAATACAGTAACTTGTTCTCGCTATATTCTTGAATTTATCCTAGTTTCTTGAGTACTCTAGAGAATGCCCAAGTCTTACTAGTGACCCCACTTCAACACTCATTTAGCTGAGTCCATAAAGAATGCAATTGTGCCTACCAATATTAGAAACCACATGGGTCTATGACTCATTAGGTGTAAAACTCTCTCCTTATGTCAGTAGGCAGCGCCGTATAGGTTGGGCAAGGAATTAGACTTTGCTAATTCCTTTACAAACATGGTGCTTTCTTCCATCATGTGGTATGGTTCTTCTTTGCTCGGTATGCTCTCCAACCTTCCCCCCCCTCCCCCAACTCCCCAAGCTTGTGCACAAACACAAGCATAGGGTGTGTCTCGTTCTTCTTCTGTTTATAGTTCTTCATACAACCTCCAACCCCAACTCCCCCCCCCAACCCCAAAAAAAAAAAAAAACAAGAAAAAAAGAAAAAAAAGAAGAACCACCATCACACAGACATACATCCCTACACAATTATCTAGTGGCTCTAAACCATAGAACCAACCATATGAATACAAAGAACCTTCTTCTCACACTCCATCCATCCCTTGTGGTGAGGGTGGAGAAGGGTGCGTTATGCTTCCGAGCTATGATGCTCAATGCTAATATCGAGACATGAAGCAAAATACAACTCGGCTTTTCCTAAAATCTTGGACTTGGATATATAGGTACAAGTATCCTATGTGGCACAATGAAATTATAGGATACGGTATGACAAGGACATGGTAAATATCAATTTAGGAAAAAATACAATGATATACCGAAGAAAAGGATTAATGATACCGTTATATTAAAAGTTAGGACATTGAATGTGTAACTCGTGGGATTCAAATGGGATTCTTAATATTCTAACTTCAATATAAAAAATTTCGAAGCTGCCAATGTAAAGGATTTGATACACCAAAGTTAACAAATTACTTGTATGCATTACATGGTAATAATTCTACTTGAAAATGTGACCTAGCTAATAAACAAATAGCAAACAAGGAGTGCATAAAACTAGCTAATAAACAAATAGAAAACAAGGAGCGTGTAAAAATAGGGACTCATCATCCTTGAGTATTATAATATTATTTTACACGTGATCCTTAGTATTAGTTACGTCATCTTCTAGATAATAAGTTTTATAAGATTTTTTACTCTTTATCGTTAATATTATGTAGGGTAATAATCAGAAATATCCCTTTTCTCTAAATTCTTTGAAAAATACCTAAATTCTTTGAAAACTATGTCCATAGCTATTCTTTGACTTTCTATAATTTTTTTACCAAAAATCCCCTTCACAGTTCTATTAAAATCGTGATGGTCCAACGCCCAACTCTCATGACTCTTTAAGTTGTTTTTGTAAACCATCACAATACTTGTGTCCCTCTCAGTTATTGTAACCTTTCTTCTTAATTTTTGGTCTCCTTCGCCTCTATGCCACCTTCTGCAACCTCTATTCTTCTCTCTCATCTCTTCTTCTTTCTAAATTATTCCATGCAACAACCCAAATCCTAGAATGCTTGAACCAGGGTCTACTTTTTTCTTCTCAAACCATCTTCTACCCATTAAGCATCTTATTTTTTGTAATAAAATTGCTTGGTTATTTGCCTGCTTGCGAATCCAGAAAATATCAGGCTGTTGTGTATGCAATTAATCCTAAAAAAGAAAAAACCCAATTCAGCCTATAGCTTCAATTCCCTAAAACCTGTTTTGCATCCTCGTCCCGAACCATCCCAAGCACCTAATTTCCACATTGAACCTATTCTTTGTTGCTGACCTACTGAAATCCAGAAGGGTACCGACCCTATGACTGCTGTAGAACCTGTCTGAAACTTCACCCTATTATTCCCAACTCTTCTTCTCTCCGATTACTCAACTTCATGACCTTAGCAGCCTCATACTATTTTATTACCCTAAAAATCACATTAAACCTTCGAAGTCTGCGGCTATCTAATCCTTTCTTAAAAACCACAGACTAAATCATTGACTTGTCTAATCCTGCTGGACTGTCGGCTTCCAGAAGGTATTTCCTATCTTTTATGGACCTATTCTTCCGCTAAACTCCTACCCATCCATACCAAAGCCTTGCCTACTAGCCCACCATAACTCAAGACTATTCAACCTTATATGTCCCCAATTAGGCTGGTAATTGATTGTAGCCATCTGAAATAACCCTCGTCAACTCCTATTTACCCACCTGTTGTGACTCTTTAAAATCATCCTGCACTTCAATACACTTGTATAGGCTCCCAATTGCGCTGATCTTACTCATAAGTCCATCTTGAACCTTATCCGCTGTTAAAAATAGATCCCATTCATCCGCATCCCCCATTTCTTCCCACAATTTCCTCCTGGTCCACATTGCCTTTGATTTGAACTTGGTGGAATATTTCTGAGAACCTTGTAACTCCCCAAGCCAGCAAAACCGCCTTGCCTCATCTCCATTTTACATCTGCCTGAAACCTTGTATCACTTCGAAGTGCCTTACAGATAACATATATATTCTACGTACTCTTCAACACTGGATATTCTCTCTCACATTTGCCTTTTCTAGTCTGATAGCTTGCTTATCTTTTCCTGTTCTATAGGTTTTTCTTGTCAACAAGGACATCGAATCTATTAAGGACATCTAAAATAACCTTGATTAAGGTACTCAAATCATTTCTCCTATCCACAGCTGGAATCTTTTTATATCGGTTCAGCTTGTGGATTTGATGTCAATAATCTAATACTCAATTTGTTGGGGTTGTTTTGTAGGGCCTTAGGGATCGAGAAGAGGAAGATTGGATTTCAAGTACATTTTTACTCCAGGTATGTAAACATTGAAAACATGAAGAAGACTAAAATGTGTCTATGACAATGGATTGGTGGATCCTTGATGCACAGATTGTCATGGATCAAAAGACCAGAATACCGTTGAGTTTGAAATATGATTAAAGCAGTACCACTTACACACAAAAAATTCAAAAATCTTCTCTCAAGGGTCCATAGACATGAATATCTATGCACTAAAAACCCCTTTAAAATTTGAGCATAGAGATAAATGAGGGAGAGAGTCTGCTATATTAGAAACTTACAAAGGTAATAAGTCATAATCTTAATGGACAAATTTGAGGTGTGCTTCTTGGTCTTTCATATGTGGGAGATTGGTCTTTCATATTTGGCCAATTTTCATATGTGCTGAGAGGCTTACAGTCATATGTCCTATGTTGGTTAAACACTTTATCGAGGCAATGAGATTTAGATAGCCACAATAACCTATATTCTCTATCTCGCATTATATTAATTCCTAGATATAGTCTGCCTCTTCCAAGTCCTTAACATCAAATGTGGAGTGTTGGGTTTGTAGCCTTTAAAGGCCTTGAGAGCATGTAAAACTTGTGACTATGGTGATATAGTACTTGGGAATGTGGTCCATGTGGGTTAGAAAGGCATGCTTTGTAATTCCTGTTGACTCACGGGTTGGGTGGTCTAGGCCCGAGAGTAGAGTCTAAAACCATTTAGCCTTGTCATAAGGCACAACCATGGAGGGTCTGTATGGTCATCCCTTGTTGACGTCAGAGGGATGCCCAGGGTGGATTAGCTCCGAGGTGGCTGCTTTCATGTGTGCAGTTGGTGGCCTGTGAGGCCAAGGGCCAAAATCCTCAATATTACCACCGCACATATAGGCATGATAGCTGCATTCTATGGGAAGCAACCCATTAGTGTCATATGTGTACATGTGATGAAGAAAGGCTCCCTACACCATTGCAATAGCGTGCACATGTCTATGTAAGACATGACTCTTCCTTTGGGGCAAACTGTAATCCACACATTAGACTCGTGTTCGTTCTATTTATTAGCCAACTTACATGACTCGTCCTTTGGGGCAAACTGTAATCCGCACATTAGAATCGTGTTTGTTCTATTTATTGGCCAACTTTAATGGATCAATCATGAGCCCCTGTGATTGATTGTGGGTCATATGTTCCATCGGGTTGGTTTGGGAAGATAGATTGTGGACCATGGGAACTAGCATATGTGGAGTGCCTTGATGGATAGATAGACCGTGGACCAAGGGACCTAGCATATGTGATTTTGCATATTCCTGACTTGATGGATCCGATTCTCATGTAATCATGTTTATTTATGTATCACAAAAATGAACTTTTAAAGTAGGTTACATATTTTATTTTTGCTTCATGAGTTTTTAATTCAAACTTGATGGATCCAATGGTCGTGTAATCATGTTTATCTATATATCACAAAAATGAATTTTTAAAGTAGGTTACATAATTTATTTTTGCATCATGAGTTTTTAATTCAAAAATGCTTTTTAATTAAAAAATAAATAGCTTTTGGAATTAAAATTTCAGAGACAATTGTTTGGGGCATAAAAAATTATTTGGGACCCATGTGGGGCCTGGTGGCCAAGAGCCCAACTGTGGGAGGGCCCAAGATGTGCGGCGTGTGGGGCTCATTAGGGCTCCATAAGCCAACACACCCCTCCTTTTCCTATTTTTTTCACACTCCTTTTTGACTTAAATAATTGATTTATTGTTTTCAGATGTTTGGAAAAGTTAGGAAAGCTTGATAAGTCTTCTAGAAGGATTAAAAAGCTTCTAGATGGTTTTGTGATAGAGTAATAGTCCTATGAGACCCTCCCACACCCATGTGTGTAGGACTCCAAAGGATCAACATTAAATTTAGCACAGATATCTAGAAAAGTTAAGTCCCACACTTATGTGATAACTTTTCTGCAGATTTGTGCGAAATTTAATGGTGATCCTTTGGGGTCCTACACACATGGGTGTGGGAGGGTCTCATAGGATCATTACTCTTTGTGATAAGGTTAAATCAAATAAATTGGATAAATCCTATTCCTCTTGGATTATAAGAGAATAGGTCAACGATACTAAGGGATAAGGGTTCTAGATCTTTCCATCATGATGGTTAATCTAGGGAATTGAGGGTTTAGGTTAAATGCCTCTTTTCACCCCATAGATGTGATTTAAAATGGCATTCTCGAAAACATCTTTGAACTCTGTTTCTCACATGTATCAATTATTACATTCCCCCCTCCTCCTATAGCCATCACAAGAAATCAACTGTCCAAATTGAATTCCAAATAAAATGGCAAACCCTGGCCTTGACACCATTATACATAAGGGGTTCTACCCCCTCAATTAAACACACCTTTCATGAACCTCTTTTTCTCTCTCCTCCACAAACCACTTCTCTCTCTGCACTCTCTCTAGAATAGGTGGTACGCACCACCTAGGAAGCTTATAGGTTGGAATGCTTCACCCAAATAGTAGACTAGGGTAGGAAGCTTCACCTAACCCTCGGTCTAGTTTGATTATCTTGGATGTGCTCTCTTGCCTCAATTAGTTCTAGGTTTGCCATAAGAGCTTCCTAACTTAAATGGATTTAGCAGGGATCAAGATCAGTGTGCCATCGAGCTAACCGGAGTGGGGTGTACCAAAGTCCTTTAGAGGTGATGTTGAGGCAGCTAGCTCCTTTATAGGATTCCTATGTTCTTGATTCACTATTATGTTCGTTAGTGTAAGTTTCTGATTTTTATGAATAAAAAAGTTTGTTAAGTGGCAACAAGTGAGGATCCTTAGATTGTAATTGGTTTATTTTATTGTGTTTGCATTGTAAGGGCCCTTGTAAGTAGACTTGCCGATAAAGTTGCCAAAATATTTTAAATACACATACCGTGCTTGATCTACATTGCCACCTTTCATGGAGCTCAACCAATTTTTGACATGATGCAACAACTGCAAATCATTGCTAGCTGGTCTCATATCATTTGCATAAAGTGCAAGTGAAATGATAGAACCCCCACATATTTTCATGAATAAAAATGGATTTGGTTACACATTTGAAATCCAAACGCAAGAATTTAGTGATGAGTTTTTATACTGTTTTTGGGGTGCTTCTTTAACCCATGCAAGGAGTTACATAACCTGCAGAATTTATGTTCATCGCCTTCCTTGATGAATCATTCCGGTTACTTCGTATACACCATTTCATCACTATCATCATTAAAAAATGTCGTCTTTACATCCAACTGATGTAATTCCAGCTCAAGACAGGTAATTATGTTCATCGCATTCCTTGATGAATCCTTCCGGTTACTTCGTATACACCTTTTCAGCACAATTATCATTAAAGAATGTCGTCTTTACATCCAACTGATGTAATTCCAGCTCAAGACAGGGAATTATTGTAACCCAAATAGGAATAGTCTTAATACTTGTGTATGACAAGAGCATGTCGATGGCATGCTTTTCAGGCTAAATTTTTGCAACAAGTCTAGCCATACTGCTATTAAAGTTCAACTTGTTTTTCAAAGGGCACTTGCATCATGCTGGTTTCACTCCTACTGGTGCATTCACCAATTCCCAAGTTCCATTCATCATAACCGACTCCATTTCCTCCTATAATGCTTCTTCCACTTGTAATTATTAGGAGACTTCATGGCATTAGCATAGGCCAATGTCCTCCTATGGGTGTATTGTTTTTTGTTTGCTCAACATTCAGCCCCATAGAGCAAAACAGGTGTCACAACTGTCCTAATAATACAAATTCCATTAATAAAATAAATGTAAATATATAATGTACAATACAAATATATATTAATAATACAAATATAGATATAAATAATCTATGATATTTATATATTATAGATAACATATATTTAATATGTATTATGATAAATAACATATATTTAATATGTATTAATATCATATATTATTATCTATAATATATAATATAATATAAATATATATTATATTATATATTATATAATGCTATGGATGACCCAGTATCGAATACTAGTAATAATATCAGCAAAAGAACGTTCTCCCGTACTTCCAAGCATGTTCAGCTTCACATATTCTTGTACAGTCAAGGGGGATCGATTTTGTGAAAGATAGAGATTAGTAAATGGAAAACCAATGATTTTTATTCTTGTAAGATTGTCATATCTCCCCAAGTAGGATTTGAACCTACAACCAGTCAGTTAACAACTGATTACGCTACCACTTAGCTATTGAGGAACAACGGGAGATTAAATCTCATAGAGTTCAACTCCTGTTCTCAACTCATGACCAATATGGGCCCGACGCTTCCTTCATAACTCCTGGAACTTCTTCGTAGTGGCTCTGTTCCATGCCTCATTTCATAGGGAACCTCAAAGTGGCTCTATTTCATTATATTCCATCTCCATGAATCTAGGAACTTTTGCTCGCATTTTATCATTTGGTCCACATACAAACTGGTCACATTCGGGATTATGCAGGGATATACATTCGGGATTATGCAGGGATATACACGAAAGATCCTTTTTTGGCTTTTTTCAGCCCATGTCTCCTATCTGTAGGAGGTATTCTTCCATTAGTAGGTTTTTTTGGAAAACTCCATCTATTCTAGTGTGGATGGGTAGGCTGGCCTATATTTCTTGGTTTCGAAAGATCTGAAGTGACAACACTTCGGGTTAAAATAGCACTTGGAGCGGTTATTGAACTTAAAAAATTCTTATGGTTATGTATTTTAGAAATCATATGAATAAGAGAGAAACCCCATGAAAGAAAAATTAATGATCCATCTGGAAATCTTGGTTTAAAACTTTACCAATGGATACAAGATCTTCCTTCTTTGCATTTATTGCAGTTTTTTCTCCATGAGCATCAAAATTGGAATAGTTTGATTACTTCAAATGCAAAGAAATGCAATTGTTTTTTCAAGAGAGAAGCAAAGATTGTTTTTGTTCTTGTACAATTTTCCAGTGATGGGTAGGAGCGGGCGAGTCTGTATCGTCGCGGAGCAACTGCGGTATCCAGATCAGGTACTCGGCAAATCATTTGGTGATTGAAGGGTCGCCAAAGAAGCCCCAAGATATAGGCTTGAGTCGGACGTCAAATTGTTTGGATTTGAATTAACCAGAGGATGCCTTATAAAATATGTATAATTAAACCTATTTCTCGATTCAATAGAAGCCCAAACGAAGTGAATATGGTACCAAAAACGATAGATATGTAAAAAGCCGACGCTTTGATGGAGTAAGAAATATAGAATGGAATGATTTTGAATATCGAATTATTAGTAAAAAACATTCTCCCACTTTTAAATTCGTAACATTTCTGATTGGCTATCTTGTGTTTCTAATAAGTTGTTTAATAGTTGGCATGCTGAATCATATACAAAATAAATTGGTTTAGATTGATCCTAACCAGATAATCAAGAATCACTTTCTACTATAAAATAAATATATATTAATAGTGTACATTCTATATATATTATAAATTATATAATGTATTTTATTTAATATATATATATGTATTTTATATAATACGTATATGTATTTTATATAATATATATAATTTATATAATCATCATCATAGCCTTTTTCCAATTATTTGGGGTCGGCTACACGAATCCTGATCCGCCAGTCTACTCTATTAAATGCCATACCCTCAGTGGGGCCATAAGTCCCCATATCTTTTTGGACTACTTTCAACCATATCCTTTTGTGCCTGCCCCTTGTCTTTTTCAATCCTTCCACTCGAACTAATTTTTGCACCTCCTAACAGGTGCTGTACTGGGTTGATGCCACACATGATCAGCCCACGAAAATCTACTCTCTCTCATCTTATCGCCGATTAGTGTCACACCTAAGTTTTCTCAAATGGATTCATTTCGAATTCTATCCCTTCTTTCTTTCCACTCATTCATCTCAACATCCTCATCTCTGCTATACGCATTCTATGGGTATACTATTTTTTGTCTGCCTAACATTCTGCCCTATAGAGCAAAACCGTTCTCATAATTGTCTTATAGAACTTGCCCTCCAGCTTTGTTGGTATGCGGCGATTGCATAAAATTCCAGTTGCACATCTCCACTTCGCCCACCCAGCTCTAATTCTGAGTGTAACATCTTCCTCAATCTCTCAATTTTTCTGAATTATCGACCTAAGATATCGAAAGTGCGGTCTTTTTGTACTTCTTGGCCGTCAATCTTAACTACTTGCTCGTCTCTACTTCAATTATTACTAAACTTGCATTTCATATACTCTGTCTTAGCCCAGTTAATTTTAAAACCTTTGGATTCTAGAGCATCCCTCCAAAATTCTAACTTTGTGTTGATGTTGTTTCGGGTCTCATTGATCAAAACTATGTCGTCTGTGAACAACATGCACCATGGTACCTTATCCTGTAGGTGCCTAGTTTTTTTTTCTTGTCAAGGTTATATAGGAGTTGAACTTGAGATGTTGGGCAATGAAAACCAAGCCTCTTTCGTCTTGAAGTATGGGCTCAATGCTGACCCTTGATGTGAACCTATTGTCATTAAAAACTCACTCGTCTCTCCACTAGTTGTTTGTACACTAGTTAGCGTTCTATCTACATTGCTATCACCAAGTCGATGTAGTGTTTGGAGACTCCTTTATTTTCCAACACCTGCCAAATCAAATCTCGAAGTACTCTATCATAAGTTTTTTCTAGATCAATAAAGACCATATGGAGGTCTTTTTCTTTCGCCCTAAATTTCTCAATCAGTTGCCTAAGTAGGAAAATAGCTTCGGTTGTTGATCTTCTTGGCTTAAAACCAAATTGGTTTTCAGATACACTCATTTCATGCCTTAGTCATTGCTTAATTATTCTCTCCCAGAGCTTCATAGTATGGCTCTTAAGCTTGATCTCTCAATAGTTCGCACAATTTTGTATGTCTCCTTTGTTTTTGTAAATAGGTACCACAATACCTTTTCTCCATTTGTCTGGCATTTTATTAGTTCTCAACACCATGTTGAACAACTTCGTCTGCCAGTCAATACCAATCTCCCCCACGCACTTCCAAACCTCTATCAGGATACCATCTGGTCCTAAAACCTTTCCTATCTTCATCCTTTGCAAAGCTTCTTTCACTTCCAACATCCTAATCCTACAAATGCATCTATGACCTCCGCCATCATTTATGCCAACAATTCTTGAAAGGTGGACTAGGTGACCGGGCAAGTAAATATCGATTAAAATTTTTCTACCCTTTTATACGTATTGCCATCAGGATCACTTACAAGGACCTCTCGCTTGCTATTAAAACAAAAGTACTTTCATCATGTAGAACTGAAAATTACATAAGGAAGCAATAGAAACACGAAATGTTAAATACTGCGTACTTTGCCTCAGGTTATCCCCAAAGATTTCGTACACTCCAAACCGGGTCTCCTCCACCGATGGCGCCTGAGATCTTTGTTCAAGAACACACTTCACAATTAGGGAAGCCTAGGCAAAACCCTTAGAGAGCATCACATGGGATTTCTTTGACCAAGGCTCAACACATGAGAAAGAGGTGAGGACCTAGGGTTAGGGCTTGTGTGGTTTGGGCATGCCACCCCTTAGGATTAACTCTTTCCTAAACCTTAATTTGGATGAGAGAAGAAAAGAGAGAAGGCTTGAGTGGGGCATGCCCCCTTTGGTTGCTTAGAGAGATAGATAGATAGAGATTAGAAATAGAACCCCCATAGTTAGTATTTATAGACAAGAGGCTAGGGTTTCTAGGGTTAGGGTTTTACCATCATCGTGAGGTTTAATATTGACTTTTAATCTTGGAGACCTATGAGATGAAGAGATCTCAACCATTCATTCTCCAAATCAGCCATCGTGATTAAAGGAATGATGTGGAACCCTATCTGTCAGTTTCCATGACTCCATTCCCATAAAATATTTTGTATAGAGAAAGTAATCAATCAATCAAAATTAAATTCTTACACATTCTTATTTTGAAATCAATCACAATCAATTTCTTGCACTATCCTATTTTAAAATCAATCACAATTAATTTCTTACACCTTATTTTGAAATCAATCAAAATCTGTACACAACAAGGTTTCCTAAGATTTCAAGTCAACATATGACATAATTGGCATCTTTCAATTTAGGAATTATGGAGGAGATGGGTGGCCATGTTGGCTCACACTGCCACAATATGGTGGGCCCAATGAACCTAATGGGTCCTCAATACCTTAAACATAATTTTTAGATAATAAATTAATTTTTTATAGGACCTACAAATATTTTATTTTTCTTTTTGATTAAAATAAATCCAGGAAATGGATTTTTCTCTATTTAAAAAGCATATTGTAATAAAATAAAATACGTAGAGTAGTCTAAAAATTCATTTTAATTATCTGAAAAATAATTAAAACATATTAAAACTTATCTAGGAAAGTTTGCCATCATCTCTAGAGATCACTTCTCACTGAATCTTTCAAACTGACCCAATCGATCCCATAACCCACAACGCATCGCAGGGGTTCATGATTGGACCATCAAAGTCAGTCAATAAGTGGATAAGATACGATCCTACACCATGGATTACAGGTCCTTCCTTGAGGACAAGTTCAGAGCTCATTCAATATGCTCCATGGGTCCTTCCAACACAGTCCAGTGTTGCAGGGAGTCAACTCTTCTGCACATGTACACGTCACACAGCCGTATCTGAAGGGTTGCTTCCCGGACGACTATCTAATGTACATGCCGTGTGATGGTAATGGTGAGGATTTAGGACCTTGTCCTCTCTGGCCATCCATCATACATAGGGCTTAAATCCATGTCCTCTGGCCAACTGTCTTGGGTACATCTCCGACCTCATTGAAGGATAACCCCACATCGATGCCCTTATCAGTTATGCTTACATGATACTTAGGACTACGGATTTTGGACTTCACATTGAGTCATAGCCAGTCAGAACTCATGTGAGTCTAAGGCATTGTCAATGCCCTACAGTCCAAGCTGGGCCATACTCCCATTGAGTCAATAATTCATTATATATTTTCAGTACATGCTCTCATCAGGTCTTTAAATAGCCACAAAAACCCAATAGTTCCTTCTACCGCTATGTTCCCATTGTGTTCGTCATTTAAAAGGTTGTGACAATAAATTCTCTACCTTTCGTTGACCTCATTATCCTCCACTAAGAGCCTTTGATCCTCACTCTTAATGCATTTAATATGGTTTAGATCCCTATATTTTTTCTCTCCTAGTTTAGCTAATTTGAAGACATCTTTTTCACCTTCTCTTGTTCCTAGTTTGTTGTATAGATTATCATATGCCTTAAGTTTAGCTTTACGTACTATTTGTTTAACGTTTTTCTTAACATTTTTTTATATTCTTCTTCTAAGTTTTGATCATTTCTATTATACTGCTAAGTTTTATAACATGATCGTTTCTTGCTAATGGACTTTTGAAGCTCATCACTCCCCACGAAGTTTCCTTATCGAAATTTCTTTTCCCTCTAGATTCTGCTAAAACTTCTTCATTTTCTTGATACAGTCAGCCATCTCATTCCATATTACATTGACATCATTTTCAAAGTTTCATTATTCTTTTTCAACTAATTTATCCTTAAATAAGTCTAGTTTCTCATTTTTTAAATTCCATCACCTAGTTCTCAGACACTCATTACTTTCACCCCTTCTCTTCCATATCTTTATGTAGACGTTCATAACCACAAGCCTATTTTGGGTAGTCAAACTCTCTCCTGGGAAAACTTTGCAGCCTTTACATGATGGTCAATCTACCTTCTTAACTAGGAAGCAATCTAGTTGGCTTTTATGTGATCCACTTTTATAAGATAGTAAATGTTCATTTGGCTTTTTAAAGTAATTGTTTGCTATTGCCAGTTCGTAGGCCATAATGAAATCTAGAATAGTCTCAGCAATCTCATGTCTTTCCCCAAACTCATATCCCCTATGTACCCCTTCGTATCCTCTACTATCCTTCCCTACATGACCACTTAAGTCCCTTCCTAAAAACGGTCCTCTCTCCATTTGGTATGTCTTGGACTATTCCATCTATGTCCTCCCCTCCCCATTTCCTTTGACTTTTGACCAAAACCAAAAGTTCTAAGCTACCGTCATTCGATAGACCTAACTAGGCTACTTTACAACCCTATACGAAGCTACCTCCAAGGGTAATGGGGTCACTCAAGTTCCCCCAAAAAATGGAGGGGAGCAGTTCCGAAGAAAGGAAGTGGGTATTAAAGGTTTTGACAGTTTCTAGAGCTTATCCGCCCGCGCCCTTGAGTAGCTTCGCAGCCTAAGCTGGATAAGGAATGACCTCCCCTAATGAATTTCGACAGCCCGAATCCGACCGAGGCATTTGTAATAGCGCTTAGCAGCTCTTCTAAGGTAATCCACACTTAGCCTAAAATAGTTGGATAAGGAATTAGCCCTTTTGAAGGTTCCTTAGAACTCAATAGATTGTCGCTGCCGAACTTCGGCAGCTTAGTGGCTAATTCAACTGCTAAGCGAAAGAGTTGACTACTGAGTTATTGAAGAACGCCTACTACTGGGGCGGAGTGTCGGAATTGAATAACGGCTACAGACGAAAAACCTTAGTTTTAGATATGCTAGTCGCAGATTGAGACCGGATCTAGTTGTTTCATATCTAGTTCCACCTCCTTACAAGGGTGGGCTCACTCACCAAGAAGGGGAAGGGGGGCTATGCACATCAAGGAGCTAGGAAGAATCGGAGGGCACCGCGTGAACCAATCACTCACTCGTAATTACTGGGGGAAAAGACCAAAGAATTTATATGAATTATTGATGAAACATTCTCTTCTTAATAGAGGGGGTAGTAAGCGACTGCTTGGAAGAGAAAGCAGTATCAACTAGGGGCAAGCGCGAACTCAACCCTCGTGAGGGTTGAGCGCCTAGTCGAGCTCACCTGTCGTCTCTTTCTTCATTTGTGTAAAAAAGACTGGGTTGACGCTCTGATTGATCTATGCTTGCACGGGCCGACTTATCCACAGATCAATAGTAGGGTAGCCTCTTAGTTCTCTGGTCATGGACCTTACAAGTTTATCACCACAGCCCGGATTTCCCCGGGGGCAGCACTTGGACATGACGCTTAGCTGGTCTTTCTGGGTGATCAGCCACATCGGGATAGAGATAATGAAGATTACCCTGAGAATTCTTTTTCTTTTTTGTGCTGGCCGGACCAATAGATAAAGGGAGAATGAACTTTGATGTTCATCTTCGTCTGTTCTTCCAATCCAGTCATTCGTAGAGACGAGAAAAGGAAATTCCAATGAATTGATTTGACTTTTCAAATCCGAATGAATTGGGAAAGCAATGGATGGGAGCAAGGATAGAAATAGGGATGGGAGGTCAAAAGGAGTTATTATGCGGTAGGGTAAATTCAAATTGATGTGCCGTAATTGTCTTTTAATTCTATCATTTAATCCTACTTGTGGTGCATAAGCACTAATTACGTTAATAATCTCTTCCCCTAATACAAGTTTAATTAATAGGAGCCAATCACCTATTCTTTTGACATTAAGTACTTTTTCTTTTAAATCTTTGTCTAATATTATGCCTATGCCATTTCTATTATATATATAATTATATTATATAAATATATATATTATATAATACAAATTATATTAATAAAATAAATATAAATGTATAATATATGATAGTGTATCAGTTGCTATAATAGTGTTTTCTTCGTAAGTGGTTAAAAGATGATCTTCTAATTATTACATATGTTACAACCAAAAATTCATTCATGATGGCATTTCTACATTATTTTACTTGCTTCATTACACAAAGACCTCAAAAAATCTTATCAGTATTTTACTCGTACAGGAAATGGCGGATGCATGTCTGGTTCAATGTGCGGTAAATATGGGATTGCAGGAATCTGAGGTGCCTGAAGAATCTCAAGAGTCATTTGATGAGGATAAGGAGCTACAACAAGTTATAGATGGAGAAATTTCCATGAAGATTTATCCATTTTCTAGTGGTAACTGGAAGTATTTGCTTGATTATTGTTGGCAACTGTGTTATTTTTTTTTATTTTTATTTTCAAATGAATAGTTTTATTTATTTTTATAAAACATCTTTTTTTTTTTGTTAATCTTTGCAGATATGCATGCTTTAAAATCTGAAAGAAAGGTTATACTACCTGGTTCATTTAATCCCTTGCATGATGGTCACCTCAAACTTTTGGAAGTTGCTTCAAGGTATCACTCCTTTCCTACCTTGAAATGGACCTTCAGAATGCTTTTTTGACTCACTAATAACTTCAGCCCAAATGTATGAATTTCTGGATTCTCCAAAATATATGAATGCCAAATTTTTACTTTCAATAGCCATTCCATCTTGGACGTTGCTTGGGTTGCTGCACATTCTGGTTCATATGGGTCGAGATCGGTCCAGTCTGCAACTTGCTTGATGTCTTTGCACTTCCTCTGCGTGGTGCACAGTATGTTTTGCCATTATCACCCATCATTTTTTCTCATATGGATGTTGGATATTGTGTACCATCGAATAAAAGGTTAGGTGGAGTATAGTCCACTAGCTGCCAAGTTTGGTGTCGATTCCCCTGGGTTTCTCTGATTTGAACAAGACTGACATGTGTGCTTGGCCAACTTATGCTTTCTCTCCTCTCTCATATTGGAATTTCTAAGGAAAGGCTCTCTTTTACACGGACACAATTTTTGCTTTTTAGGAAAGTCCTCCGTGCTGCCCTCCCTCCAACAAAAATGCGCACGTGAAAATTTTTCCTATGGATTATCCTTGCTTAAAGCTCATGACCCCTATTTGTAGCATAAACGCATCTACCTTGCATGTAAATTGGCTTAGCTATGTCCATTAAAAGGTTCTGCACTTATAGGGTCTGCTTTGTCAAAATGTCAAAAAAGGAGATTGGCATAACGAAAAGTTGTTTTCTTTCTTGGCCAATATTGCTTTCAAGTTCAACAATGCTGTTACTGTGAAAATATATTTTTGCTACACTGTTAGTATGTCAATCTTTCTTTTTGGATAGTGATTTTTTATGGAGTTGCTGAGGCCTGGATTGGTTATTAACTTATTAACTTGATCAGATGGGTGACAGATTACTGCTTGAGTTGTGGCATTTGACATTTAGAGAGGAGGAATGGAGTCATAAGAGAAATATTATTGAGAAGTAGTATTCGTAAGAAAAAAAAGAAGATAGAGGTTATGCATAAGTGGAAGAGAGTGGCTAAATCTGCAATGGATCGTCCAAAACTAACAATTATGTTCTTGGGCCTCCTTATATTCAGATATATATGTTGTTGACATTATGAATATGCAATATAAAATATTACATATGGGTGCAAATCAATAAAATGAAACATAAATGTCAGTCCCTGCAAGTCATATCATTAATATGCTCCCTCAAGTTTCTCCCTCAAGTTTTACATCAGCATTTGGCAACAATCATGGATAGCTATGTCTATGCTTGTTCAACCCTTTTGTGAAAATGTTGGACATAAGTTCACTGGTCCCAACAAACTCCACAACTATTTCTTTGTCTTCAAGTTTTTCTCACCGAGTGTTGATCTGTTTGAATATGCTTGGTTTTTCCATGAAGCATTGAATTCAAGAAAACAGCTATATTACTTTCATTGTTGCTATATAGAACACTATTGCACAATTTCTGGCAAAGAACCATAGCAAGGCTCCTTGTCCATGTAATTCTGTGCTTGACGACCTCAACATTTCGTTTTTCCACAAGATTGCTAATTGTAGATCGCAGGACAACACCAGCACCCGCATCAAAGTGGAGAACTTCATCTTCAAACACCCTGCCGAGGTTGAAAGAGCCATCCTTGATTTCTTTCAAAAGCTCTTAACTGCTCCCCCCTGGGCCCAAACCCACCATGGGAAATCTTTCTTTCCTGACCCTCCGTCTTGAGAAGGGCGAATGGCTCGAGAGACTGTTCTCAGAGAGGAAATACCCAGGGCTATCCATGACCTTGGCCAAGACAAGGCCACGGGCCTGGACGGCTTCCCAATTACCATTTTTAGTACCTTTTGGAGCTTGTTTCGATGAGATACCCTCGCATTCTTTGTAGAATTCTCCCCCAGGGAAATAGTGCATAAAGCCTTTAATGCCACTTTCATCACTCTGGTCGCCAAGAAAGGACCGGAGGAACTCAAGGACGTCCGTTCGATTAGTCTCATAAACAGTTTTGTATAAAATTTTGTCTAAGGTGCTTGCCTCCTGCATTAGAGAAGTCCTCGGCCTGGTAATATCCCCACAACAGGGCGCATTTGTGAAAGATCGACAAATACTTTACGGGGCCTTAGTGGCTTATGAGTGGATCCACTCAAGGCACCTATCCAAAATCCCAGGCCTTATTGTCAACCTCAATTGGGCAAAGGCCTATGACCACATCGATTGGGGTATTCTTGATGAAACCCTTCACTGAATGGGCTATGGTCAGCGGAGGAGGAGATGGGTCAGGGGCTGCATATCCAGCCGTTACTTCTCAGTTTTGATTAACAGTTCCCCCAGGGGCTTCTTCCCCACTTCTAGGGGTCTGCGCCACGACGACCCTCTCTCCCCTCTCCTCTTCGTCATTGTAGCCGAAGTCTTTAGCCATTCTATCTCCCGGCTTTTAGCGAAGGCCTACTCCATAGGTTTATGTGTTACCATTTCGTACTTACAATACACCCACGACACATTGGTGTTTTGTAACGCTTCCCCCCAAGAGACCGATACTCTCTTCCTATTCCTTAAATGTTTTGAATGGGCTTACTGGCTTCAAGGTTAATATGGGTAAATCGAAGATGATAGGGGTAGCGCTCAACTCCAATGTAACCCATGCCTTGGCCGAGAGTTGGGGCTGCAGTACAGATAGCCTTCCCTGAACATATCTCGGACTCCCACTCGGCATTGGCAAACCTAAGCTTAGCTCTTGGGCACACATTATCGATAAATTTGAGCGTGGGCTCACTACTTGGAAAGGTCGTTTCCTCTCCCTGCCCGACAAAGCCGTACTTATTAGAGCTACCCTATCCAGCATCCCAATCTACCAAATGTCCCATTTCAGAATGCCGACAATAGTTCTAACTCGCCTAAACCACCTGATGAAAAATTTCCTTTGGGAGCTCAGGATCCACCTTATAGCTTGGACAAAGTATGCTCACCTTGCCATCTTGGGGGGTCTTGGCATCTGAAAGCTCAGTTAACAATACTGCCCTCTTGGGCAAATGGTGGTGGTGCTACGCCACCCAATCCAATCACCTGCGGCAGCTGGTTCTCCAACAAAAGCTCAAAGTTAACAATACTACCCTCTTGGGCAAATGGTGTTGGCTCTACACCACCCAATTCAATCACCTGTGGCAGCTGGTTCTCCAACAAGAATACCACCTCCAGCCTTCCTCCTGGCTACTTCCCTCCAGAGCTTACAGCAGGGCCTTAGGTGTATGGCGCACTCGCCTTAGCACCCTCAAGGTGTTCAAACAGAATATTCGCATTTTAGCTCGGGCTGGTACTCAAACCAAATTTTGGTCCGATTTGTGGTTTGGAACCTCCCCTTTATGAATCTTTTCCCCTCCCTCTTCTCAGAGTCTATAGGCAGGAATCAGGTGCTGAAGTATTCAACATCCTAGGACCCAAGCGTGTGTGGAGCCTTACCTTTAGGAGGCCCCCTTTAGACTACGAACTCCAAGAGTTTCTCGACCTCTCAGCTCTTCTAGATTCCTCCCTCATTGTAATCCAGGGCGAGGATAGGCTCATCTGGTGCCCCTCACCCTCTGGTTTCTTTACAGTATCCGCTTTATACCGAAAGCTTATCCAACCTCCCACCTTTTCCTTAAGCCCCTACTTCTGTTTCTGTTAAGGCTTGGTTTCTCCTTGTGCCTCCAAAGATCCAGTTTTTCAATTGGATTGCCCTCCATCAAATGGCCCTCACAGTAGACCACACACCATCTACTTCGAGGCTGAGGAAACCAACAAACACCTATTCATCCACTGTCCTGTTGCCTCCCTCCTCTAGAGTCTCGTTCTTTGCCTTTTTCACTGGCAATGGGTTACCCCCCAATCTATCCCCTGGCTATTAACTTTAGCCCTACCCTTGGCCTAAGCCTGGCATTCTCCTATGGAAGGCATCAATCTTTGCGCTCCTTAGGACCATGTGGATCGAGTGCAATCATCGGATCTTCCAAGGACAATACCAGTCTATTGCAGTTTTGCTTGACAAGATCAAATCTTCGGGTGACTTTTTGGGCCTCTAACCAAAACTCTTCAAGGGAATACACCAGTCGGCCTTTCACCTAGACTGGCTACCCCTCCTTCATCTCTCGTGCCGCAGGGTTCTCTGTGTCTCCATCTGTACTTCTCTGGACCCTGGTGCCATCAAGTTGAATTTTGGTGGGTGTTGCCTTGGCAAACCTGGACTGGCCAGCATTGATGGCTTGTTAAGGAACCACAAGGGCAAAATCTGGGTTTCCTACTCCAAACACATTGGACACTTTGACTCTTAACGGAAGAAGCTCTCGCTCTCCTTGAAGGCCTTAGATTGTTCGACCATAGTTGGTCCTCTACTCTCATCGTGAAACGTGATTCGTACAACCTCTGCCTCCACCCCTTACCCCTGGTCTCTATCATACATCTTCAAAGAAATTACTCATCTTTGCTCAGGCCTTTCGTTTTCTTGGAAACGCATTTGGTGCGAAAGTAATTAACACACAGACGCTCTCACCAAAGGAGGTGCTAATACTCAAATGACTAAGTAATATTTTGCAGTCTGAGTCATTAGTTGAAACTGATGGAGCGTCCAGCCTCTTCAACCCTCCCTATTTTGTATAGGGCTCCCTTATGGGGAGTGTCATTTTTTGGATGTTTATAGTCTCCATTCTTATGGGATTAAATTTTGTAACATTTTGTACGTTTTCTACCTTCAATACAATGTTAACATTCTCAAAAAGAAAAGTGTTACTCGTGCAGAATTACATCCTCTACTTCAACATGAAGCTATGTTCCCTAATAAAAGGATGACTTAACAATCAAATGCAAATTCTTATGATCGTTTTTTTATCCAACAACGATTATTCATCTCCTGGGAATGATTTTCATGGAGGTAGTGGCAGAGGAAGAAATGATAGAGGATGTGGCCTTGTTTTGTTAATAAGGATGCCAATGCGTAACATCATAGATTGGGTCATTGTAGTATGGACTCTTTAAATAAGTTGTGTAAATAAGGACTTG